AGTTGTCTCCATGTGAATGCTAGGAGTAATGATAGGAATATGCGTATATCAATCGCCCCACCACAGTTAAGCATTTGATGACTTTCTTCATCCTTTTCAGTTTTTAAACCGAGGCAGGCTACTGACAGATAAGTTGATGTTACAGGGATGTCAAGAACCTCGTTTAAAGTCAGCATTTCGTCAATAGATAGTTTTCGTATTAAGTATTTTCCCTTCGAGTTATTTCCTTTGGCCACCATCTTGGGGGTCAAACTAGTAAATTTTCCTCTTTGACCAACTAATTTTAAACTTGTATTGCAAAAATACAAGGGCAAAAATCTTTCAATTACTAAACTTATGAATTAAAGGAAAGTTTTGTTATATGTTATATATGTATATTTAAAACATTGTTGTGACGTCATGCCTTTGTTCTTGCAGTCTAAAAATTTACCTGTAGCCGTCCGATAATAATAATTAGCAGTCCAATAATATATTATCGGATGGCAGTGATAACAAAATCGGACAGTAGTTAAAAACACAACAACTAGAGTGAAATCAAGGTTTAATTTGTCCAGAAACCAAAAAAAAAGTTAGGGAGAAAAAATTCAGGGAAAGCGAACGCGAGGAAATTAAGTTGTTAAAAATAGCAAATCCAAGAAGAAACTGGAGTTTTAACCTTCCTCAAAAGTAACACTTTCCATTCTGTTTTTTGCAAAGCATTTTCGATACAGCACTGTGAATAAGCCAATTTAAATCCATTACTGATAAAGAACCAGTCTGCGAATCTTTTCATTTAACGAGGTTTGTTCGCCAATGACCGCACTTTTAAAACCCAAGATTTTTATTATATCATCCAATCAAAATTTTAAAATAAAAATCCGCATTTTTACTTTAAATGCATTTTGAAGATATCATCCAACACTGTATCTGTATCAATGTCAAACGCACTTAATAAAAAAAAAAATATTCCGAATCATAAAAAAAATCCTTCATCACCTGACCACTGTGCATAGTTCCTGCTGAGCCAAACGACTGCCATTGAATGAATGAAACAAAAGAGTTCACTCACTGATTTTACTGTCTAAAGAAAAAAAAAAACTTTCTCTTTTCTTTTGTCTACTTATTAGACGGTTTCAGGTAGAAAACTATTGATGTCTGAACTCCTATTGTGTAATTATCGGACTCCTCCAGGTAAGTTTTGGACATTTAAATAGCAATGTTTTAAGTAAGAAATTCTATACGTAAAATTATCAGACTGTTTTCGGCCCTAACGGGCCTCAAACAGTCTGATAATTTTACATATAGAACAGTATTCAGCATATATCCATTACATATATACCGATATATGTAAGAAAAACTGTTTTCTTTGCCTCACTGTCCAGTATGACAAGTTTAAATTGGTTGAAATGATGAAGGAATCTGGGCTTATTGACATCCAATATGGAGACCGACGGAAAATAACTACATGGTGACTTTAATCATATTGTTAGCAAATATAATCTATCTCTGGGTCGTATTTTGGCTGACTTGTTTCGTACCAATTGTTAGGACTTTGTTTTATACTAATTTGACTATGGAATGTTCCGTCTACCTGATCATTACATTGGTCTCACGATGGGTGTGACCGGTAGACAGGGGATGCTTACTCCTAATAGGCACCTGATCCCACCTCTGGAATTACCAGGGTCCGTGTTTATTCCCTCTTTACATATTTGTATTGTTTAAAGACTTTTGAGATCGATCAGAGTTTGTTATATCTTCACCATTTTCATTCTTCTTCTGGAAAATGCACATATTCTTCAAGCAGATGTTCCATGATGACCTCGCAAACTTCATGTTCGCAATCAAACACGGTAGATTTCCCAACACCAAAAAGATTTCCAATTGTCCTTTATTCCGCTGAAGACCATAGCCACTAGATGGTAACAGCCACCATTTTCTTTACATCCAACGGCATAATAACTTGACTACCTCGTACATTTCATACGATTGGCATTGCTATGCTCCAAGGAATTAATTCTTATGGGGAAAAAACGCGAGTGTCCTCTCTAAAATATTGGACGCACCGTCATCACAGATAATTTTAGGATAGCAACTAATTTTCTTACACCCAGAAGTCTCTGAAGAGACTGTAGCTCTACTGGTTTGTACTTATAACAAAGGAAGATAAAAGTAGCACTTGGACTTAAAACTTTGCAACAGCAATAAATAGAATAATGATCCTTGGTTTAGTCTCTTTTTGTGGCAAGATTTATTGCAATCATCAAAACTATAGGAGGACTAGCCTTTTAACAAATTTTAAAGAAATTTCGATTTTAGTAACCATGGCATCATCAATCAACAAAATCAAAATCAAAATAAAGACAATTAGGTATCTTAGTGTAGTCTACTTGTGTGCCAAGTTATATTGAAATCAGATCAAAACTGTAGGAGGAACATTTTGAAAGTATTTGAAGGAAATTTCTACTTTTAGTAACCATGGCAACACCGTTCATTAAAATCAAAAACCGATAAAAAGAATTACGTATCTAAGTGTCGTCTACTTGTGTGCCAAGTTATACTGAAATCAGATCAAAACTGTAGGAGGAGTAGCGTTTTGAAAGTTTTTCACAGAAATTTCTATTTTTAGTAACCATGGCAACACCGTTCATTGAAATCTAAAACCGATGAATAGAATTATGTATCTTAGTGTAATCTACTTGTGTGCAAAGTTATATTGAAATCAGACTAAAACTGTAGGAAGAGTAGCGTTTTGAAAAATTGTTTACAGACGTGGACGGACAGACAGCTAGACGGACGGACGACGGACACCTTCCTATCGCATAAGCTCTTCTGGTCTCTGACCAGTAGAACTAAAAAAAAAAAAAAAGAAGAATCTTTGAAAGAAACATTGACTTCTGCATAATATTGTATTCTTTAAAAAAAAAATAGCACTGATGTTAGAACGAAGAAATTAAATATTGACTCATAACTATTTTGCGTAACTTAATTTTTGGACAAAATAATAAAATTAGTTAACGTTGCCTCCAACCTTATTATTAATTTATGACCCAATAAAGATATAGGCATTGTTTCCTAACGATGTGTGTAAGAAAAATGATTAATTGAATTCATTTACCGACATGTACAATAACCAGTCAGTAATTATTTAAAATTTGATAGTGCAAAATTCATAGTCCTAGTGCTTTTGATTTCTCATGAAAAAAAGATAACCAGAAGTCTCTGATGAGACTGTAGCTCTACTGGTTTGTATTTATAACAATGGAAGAGAAAAATAGCACTTGCACTTGAAACTATGCAACAGCAATAAATAGAATAATGATCCTGGGTTGAGTCTCTTTGTGGCAAGATTTATTGCAATCATACTAAAATTGTTGGAGGAGTAGCCTTTTGAAAGAATTTCACCAAAATTTCTATTTTTAGTAACCATGGCAGAAACGTTCACCAAAAACCAATGTACCAAATTATGTATCTTACTGTAGTTTACTAGTGTGCCAAATAATATTAAAATAGATGAAAACTGTAGGAGGAGTAGCATTTTAAAGGAATTTCAAATTTTTTTTCTATTTTTAGTAACCATGGCAACACCGTTCATCAAAATCAAAAACCGATGCACTAAGTTATGTATTTTAGTGTAGTCTACTAGTGTGCCAAGTTATATCGAAATCAAATTAAATCTGTAGGAGGAGTAGCATTTTAAAGGAATTTCACAGAAATTTCTATTTTTAGTAACCATGGCAACACTTTTGATCAAAATAAAAAACCGATGATCTAAATTATGTATCTTAGTGCAGTCTACTTGTGTGCCAAGTATAATATTCAAATCAGACCAAAACTGTAGGAGTAATGCTTTGAAAAATTGTTAACAGACAGACGGACAGCTAGGCGGACGGACGCCGGACACCTTACTATCCCATAAGCTCTTCTGGTCTCTGATCAGTAGAGCTAAAAATTAAGTTTTAAGTTATTTGTTGGTACAATAAAACACGGAAAACAAAGCATCCAGTAAAGGCATTTCATGAGCAAAACGTCCAGTCAGTTAGACCTATTTGATGGAACTTTTGAAATGCCAATCCCTTAAACACTGGATTTATTTAAGATAAATTAGGGAAAAATAATTAAATTTTGGTCAAATTTATACCACATTATGATCTGACAGACTTATTTAGTGTTCTATTCGCAGCGGTGGCAGCTTCAGGAATAAGATAGATGGTGTAAGGAGACATCTCTGCCGTTCTGTTGTGTTATATTACACTAAAAATATTGGAAATTGTTTTGAATTCACTTTCTCATAAATTTTAAATAAGTAAGTACTCTTGAAACTTCTATTCCCTTCCCTTGAAAAATATAGACAAGTTAATTGAAGATATATTACTTATATGCTGTGTACCAATATTAAACGCAAGATATTTAGAAGTATCAGGGACCTATATACTAACTACTAGTATATAGGTCCCTGGAAGTACGACGTTTCGCCAATGTATCTTCTGACTATGAAAGGAAGATTCAACATGTAATAAAATAAAGATGGAACACAGATAAAGCAAATAAAATTTGTTTTTCTCAAATTTTATTGAATTCAATTTGTTCTGGAAGAAGAAAAAATGCATAACCAGTGGAATTATATCTCTTTCTTTGAAGTTGAAAACTGCGATATAATCTTCCACTAATAAGCTAGATTTGTTGGTCAGTAAACACCTTCATATTACAAGTACAGGTTTTCAGCGACAACCCCCCCCAACCCCCCCCATCTTTCGTCCAAATATAAACCAGACGATGTCAAGGCATATTTTTCATTAATCAAACTCTTGTAAGCTGATACTACCTACATTGTGTTTCAGAATCATTTTTTTTCTTCAGGATTTTCTTCCATGTTAGCTCTGTCAATATTATTTTCAAAGAAAAATAAAAGTTTAAAAATCATCTTTCTCTTGACCTAAAATCAAAATCAATTTGTTAAAGGCAATGTAAGTTGAACTGTACATCAACAATTTTCAAGATACAAGAAAATAATACAACGCTTTGAATTTTCCCCGACTTTATTTTTACTTATTGCACATGTCAGGAATCATGGGTCAAATCGTCTAACTGTCAATAAATTAACATCCTGAACCGAACAACAGTGCTCACCCATGTTATATAGTTGCACTACATTCAAAGACACTTTTACCAGCACACATTCACATATAACAAATTACACCCCATTGATGGGAATCAACACAGAGTCTTCAAGAAAACAAAAAAATACACAAACAATTTCAGAAACCTTGCAGGTAAAATAAAAATAAGCATACATGTAAATGACAATACCCAAAGCATGCAATATAAATATGAAAATAAAAGAAAGAAAAAATAAAACCATGTGTTTTAACACAGAGGTTTTGTCAAGCAAAGCATATATTGTACAGCTTTCGATTTAAAAAAAAATATCCTAATAACAAGAGACATATATATCATTCAAGTCTAATGAATTGTAATATTTTGTAACCTATTAATTAACCTCAAATCTGAACACGTCTTTCCATTTTATAATCAGATCCTTGAGACTGGGGTGGGTAGGGGGATGGGCGCAGATCAAATACAGATATACAGTGGAACATTTTCATTTTAACATTTCTTGCCATAAAGTTCCAAATTTTTTTTTTGAATTTCTAGGGCTTTCTAAGCATAATTGGTATAATGATTCACAATTAATGTTCTTACATCATAAAGAAGAGGGTATTTAACATTACAATCTATGAAAACTGAAAAGTATTTTGTGTGTGTGTGTCTGTTCTAGTCAAATTAAAAAGTTCACCTGATGAATGAAATTTTTGTTGAAACATACACAAATACAAATATTTGTGCAATAAATGCATTATTCTTGATCTGTATATTTAAAATCTTTAAGAAAATTAGAAGTGTGGTTAGAAATACTATATTCAAAGCACTTAATAACAACTTGTGTAAATTTAGTTACCCTTCATGTAAGAAATACACAAAATATTGTTCACATTATAATTTCTTACATTTTTTCATCTTTCTCTAATTAATCATAGTAATCTCAACAGTACTAAAATTCAACCAATCATTTGACAAGATTCTAATAAACTGGCCAATAAAAAGACAGCTTTACTGCTTATATTATTACATGAACCAGCAACAATCAAATAATGGAGCACTTCTATCAATGGCCATTCAAATCTTTCAGCTCATCTTTCTTCTACTCTCTATGAGAGAAGCAAGCATGACATGTTACACACAACAATGACACAAGAATAATACTGCAACACTGCATTGCTTCTCTGTCATGGAAACTGGTCAATTGTTTCTTTTTTTCAAAATCTCAATTTGTTTACACTCAATTTGAACAAAAAAAAGGTGACATCTCTAAGCCCTTTTATACCATGTTGCACTTTCATTTTGACTAAAAGGTTTTGAAAAACACTCACTAGTCTACATATATACACATATGCACTAAGATTATTTTATGGCAATATGCATGTACATGGGAGGATTTCAATAATTTGGCATTGGTTTTCCTCCCAAAAGTATGTCTCAGAAATAAAACACAGAATATAAATGTATACACACACAATCAAAAAAAAAAATTTAAAATAAAAAAATTTTCATCGCAAACCTATATCAGGTATATCTATTCACCAGCTGTGCTTTAAAGTATATCACTTCCATAAACATACACAATATTTAAAATCGCTCAAGCAAGTATTTTCTCTCACTTTAAAAGACAATCACCCCTCTTCAACCTTCGGTAACAGAGATAATGTCACAAGCAGTTGTGCTGTACGAAGTGTGTAGCCATGACAAGTTAAGCCTAATCATTATCATCGGAACGGTTGAGACTCATACACATACTGCCATATACTGCTCAAACAGAGCGTAAGTCTTTCCCAATCACGACCCACTAGGATAATGGCTACAACTAGGATTGCACTAGACAGGATACGAGCCCTGAAAAATGAAGAAAAAGGTTTAAATAAAAAATCGGTTAAAGGTATTTCAGCAAACCTCTTTTAAACATTAAATTGTACATAACTGAAGAGAGACCTTCAGATCTCTGAGTAAAACAAATTTATATGCTAAATACATGTAATAACAATTTGTTTGACACAAAAAAATTCTGGAAATTACATGTATTTATCCTCAGATCACTGTCGATTTTTTTGCCGACATAAAAAATGAAAGAAAAAGTGAGCAAGCTCACATACCCCACGCTCCTCCAAAACTCGACAATGCAACACGTAATGAATGGCACAGTGCATTTTAAATACACAGTATAATTCAAAAAGGGGCATTACTTGCAAAAAATCATTACATCAAAACTTCAAACATATAAGGACATTCAAATCTTTGTATGTTACAAATTTAATCGGGCTGAAGTTTCTAGATAAATAATGGAATCAAAATTTCTTGGTAATATACAAATCTATACGTTATGTCTGAAATACCTACAAAGTTTCAGGAAATTCAGTGCAGGAGTTATGCTGACAAACTGTTATTTAAATTCCCCAGTGATTTCGATTTGTTAATGAGTGTAAGTCCATGTCCAACATATGACAATTTACACTTTACACATTTAAATAATTGATGGAAACAAAATTATGATGTAGTCATATGAATTTATTTATATACTGTACTTAAGAAACTATTTAAGGCAAAGCACCAATGGGGGGGGGGGGGGGGGGGGGGGGAATGAGAACTATCCAAGATTTTGTGTGTGCGTGTTAAATCATTAATATTTTGATCTCAAAATCAATAGGGGTCTTTTAAGGTCATAAAATATTTCACATAAAATTTCATTACAAAATCTGATTCCAGTAGATTTCCTTATAACCTAACTGGAAAGTTTCTTCAATAATAAGCAAAACTCTTCCGGCAAAAATAACGGAATTGGAATTTCCTGGTTATATGCACATCTACACACTATGTACTAAATATCTGCAAAGTTTGACCAAATTCTGTGCAGTGGTTTAAGAGGAGTTGCACTAACAAACTGTTCATCTCTATATATTTAAGATATGGCCAAAAATCTAAGTTGAAAAGTGCTGAAATTCCCAGAAAAATAACGGAATTGAAATTTCCTGGTAATATGCACATCTACACATTGTGTGCTAAATATCTGCAAAGTTTGACAAAATTCTGTGCAGCGATTTAAGAGGAGTTGCACTAACAAACTGTTCATCTCTATATTCAAGATATTCAAAAATAAAGGAATAGGAATTTCCTGGTAATATGCTCATCTACACATTGTGTGCTAAATATCTGCAAAGTCTGACCAAATTCTGTACAGCGGTTTAAGAAGAATTGCACTGACAAACTTTTCATCTCTATATTCAAGATATGGTCAAAAATCTAAGTTGAAAAGTGCCGAAATTCCCAGAAAAATAATGGAATCCAAATTTCCTGCTAATATGCTCATCTACACATTGTGTACTAAATATCTGCAAAGTTTGACCAAATTCTGTGCAGCGGTTTAAGAGGAGTTGCGCTGACAAACTGTTCATCTCTATATTCAAGATATGGCCAAAAATCTAAGTTGAAAAGTGCCGAAATTCCCAGAAAAAATAAAGGAATCGGTATTTCCTGGTAATATGCACATCTGCACATTGTGTGCTAAATATCTGCAAAGTTTGACGAAATTCTGTGCAGCGGTTTATGAGGAGTTGCGCTGACAAACTGTTCATCTCTATATTCAAGATATGGCCAAAAATCTAAGTTGAAAAGTGCTGAAATTCCCAGAAAAAATAAAGGAATTGGTATTTCCTGGTAATATGCACATTCACACATTGTGTCCTAAATATCTGCAAAGTTTGACGAAATTCTGTGCAGCAGTTTATGAGGAGTTGCGCTGACAAAAAAACAGGACTGACAGACTGACTGACTGACACATTGACTGACTGACGGATGGGTCAAAAACATTATACCTCACGCAACTTGTTGCGTGGGGTATAAAAATGTAAAATTGTTTGAAATTCATGATAAAACAAATGATGGTCTAATATTTGGTTCAACATTTCACCTTGTGGTAAGAAATGGAGCAACAAGATTGGCAGCTGTAGAGACAATGACAAGAACGACGGCAACAATGGCCAACACAACATTGATCAGCTTAGTAAGGAGTGTACGAAACGTGACATTCTCCACCATCTCCATCGAGATAATCTGCTGCTGTTGCTGCTGAAGCTCCATCTTGGAGATCTGAAATCATAAAGGTCAAGGTCCCGATTCAAAAAAAAAAAAGTTTCAAAAAGGAATAAATATGTTCATCAACTCTTTTAAGCCCTCAAGATTACAGTTAAAAACAATATTAGTTTCAAACAATATCTTTTTTATGAAAACCATGACATAAAATTGCAAATGTTTTTGTGAATTTGTATACATATATTAATCATAAATTATCCTCCATTTAAAAAAAAAAAAAAAAAAAAAAAAAGATTTAGACTAGTAGATTACTCCCATCAACCATTTTTAAAAAAAAAAAAAAAAAACATTGATCACATTTTTTGACAAAGATTGCCCATCCCTCAGTATTTGGTGAGATCTAGTGTACATACCCTGGTCTGACAATTTTCCACATTATCCTGGAGATCTGTGGTCCTCTCATCCAGACGATATTCAATCTTCTCTTCCATACTTGATATGTCCTACAACAATACATACAGATATTCAAGCTCAAAGCACATCCCTCATCATTTATTACAAAAATATTTAAATCTGAAATATTTTTTTTCCTCATATACTTCTTTGGGCAAGTTGTGGTTCCTAATATTTGCTTCTGGTATGGTATTTAGTGCAAATACTGGTACTTTACTACTTATTTCAAACAAGTCAGTTTTTTCAAGTAAAATGATTCAGAAACATTTTACTGACACAGACACTGTGATAACTAACCTGTCTGAGATTAGAAAACTCATTCTGATTTAGCTCAGTCATGTCATTCATCTGCTCCTCCAGTCGCTCATATTTAAATCGTTCCTCATCGAGAGTCTGTCTGAGTCCACTCACCTCAGTATTGTGCCACCTCTGTACAAATGGACAAAATGTACCAGGTTCACATGCCAACACTATTCTTGCAATAAACTTGCAAGTTTATATTACACATCTAAATTGAAGTGATTTGTTAAAAACTTATAAAGGTGATGTATGATTATGCACTGTCTCTAAACCAAGCATAGAGTTCCTAATCCAAATTGCCATCATAGAAGACTATATATATTTAAATGTATATAAATGCACTGAAAAAAATTAGTCCACTGAATGAACAAAAGGTATCGCATAAAAATAATGTCGTTTTGTATCAGACTTAGAATGTCCAAGAGATATTGACTAAACATTTTTGTCATAGGTGCTGTATGAAAAATCTGCTTGATTATAAATAGTCATTCTGCTTTAAGACCTCTGTCCTTTCAGTATTCTACCTTGCAGTGCTCTAGTTCCTCTGTCAATCTGGACACAGTCTCTGCCAAACTTTTATTGGTCTCTCTGAGCTGTTCCACTTCCTGTAAGATGGGCTCCAGAGCAGCCTGGGTAAGCCCGACAAACTGTTGTGAGGTGTTCTGGGAATTAGACATGGGACTACTCTGATATTCCAGGTTAGAGCCGGACAGGATACTGGAGTTGTCATCCTCTGATGGATACTTGAAACTGAAAAAAAAAATCAATACATAAGACAGGATTATTCCAAGCCAAAAAATTCCTTAGGTCAGGTATGAATGTTTAAAACTACATGTACATGTATATTCTTAACTAGAGTAATGATATAAGTGCATTCCTAATTAGATGATGGATATTTAATACACTGTACTATGCTGTGATGTACAAGAGCTTGTTTTAAGTATGGATACTTTTGACACAATTATATCTTCTCTGAAATTAATTGAATTTTGAGGTATATCCTTAAAATGAGGTTTCTTCATCAGCTATGTATTATCAATACACTTTCCTCTTTTCTGAGGAGAGGAGAGTGTATCAGATACCCTAGAGGATAAAGATACATGGTAACTTGAAAACAAGAGGCCCATGGGCCTTGAATCGCTCTTCTGATAAACTGTACAACCTATCACTTCTATTTGAAGCCTCAAAGTATCCTGTATATTTACATAAACCCTTGAAATTCCAATTCACACTCTGAGAACCCAAGATGATTCTAAGCCAATTAGTACCTGAGAAATGGTCATGGTGACCTACTTATCACTTGTCATTCTCTGAGGACCCATCAACTAAGTTTGATGATTCTAAGCCAATTAATACCTTAAATATTTTTTAAAATTATAATCATAAAATTTTATAAGTAGGTCAAAGTGACCTACTTTTCAATTGTTTTACTTCAAGGACCCAAGATGCATCAACTGACAAAGTTTGATGATTCTAAGCCAATTAGTACCTGTAATATTTAATTAAAGCCATAAATTTTCAAAAGTAGGTCACAGTGACCTACTTTTCAGTCAACCTACTCCGAGGACCAAAGATGCATCAACTGACAAATTTTGACGATTCTAAGCCAAATAATTCCTGAAAATATTAAATACAGCCATAAAATTTCAAAAGTAGGTCACCGTGACCTACTTTTCAGTTGTTGTACTCCGAGGACCCAAGACGCATCAACTGACAAAGTTTAATGATTCTAAGCCAATTAGTACCCGAAATATTTGATTAAAGCCATAAATTTTCAAAAGTAGGTCACCGTGACCTACTTTTCAGTTGTTGTACTCCGAGGACCCATGACGCCTAAACTGACAAAGTTTTATGATTCTAAGCCAATTAGTACCCGAAATATTTTATTAAAGCCATAAATTTTCCGAAAGTAAGTCACGGTGACCTACTTTTTAGTCGACCTACTCCGAAGACCCATGACGCATCAACTGACAAAGTTTGATGATTCTAAGCCAATTAGTACCCGAAATATTTAATTATCGCCATAAATTTTCAAAAAGAGGTCACTGTGACCTACTTTTTAGTCGACCTACTCCGAAGACCCAAGATGCATCAACTGACAAAGTTTGATGATTCTAAGCCAATTAGTACCCGAAATATTTAATTAACGCCATAAATTTTCAAAAGTAGGTCACTGTGACCTACTTTTTAGTCGACCTACTCCGAAGACCCAAGATGCATCAACTGACAAAGTTTGATGATTCTAAGCCAATTAGTACCTGAAATATTTAAGTATAGTCATATAAATTGAAAAGTAGGTCACGGTGACCTACTTTTCAGTTGACCTTTTTTGAGAACCCAAGATGCATCAACTTACAAAGTTTTATGATCATAGGACTTAAAATGTCCAAATTATGCCTCTAAAACGCTTTGAAATCGAATGCCTGCAAAGTTCAAAAAGTAGGTCACTGTGACCTACTTTTTAATAAATATGTTTTATGGCCCCAAGATGCATCATCTTACAAGATTTAATGATTCTAAGCCTCCCCGTATTTGAATAAATGACCTTAATTGTTTTAAAAAAGATTAGCCATAAAATTCAAAAAGTAGGTCAAGGTGACCTACTTTTTAGTTGACGTACTTTGAGGACCCAAGATGCATCAACTGACAAAGTTTGATGATCATAGGCCTTAAATTGTTCAAAATATGCCTCTAAATCATTTTGAAAAAGAATGGCCGCAAAATTTAAAAAGTAGGTCACCGTGACCTACTTTTGAGTCAACATGATATGAGGTCCTTAGATGCACCAACTGACAAGATTTGATGATCCTAGTCCTTATAGTAAGCAAAATATCAACATTTTAATAAAATGTAATTTTTGGTCAACTTTGAAGTGACCTTGAGACCACGCCCTTTGCCCCAGGGTAAATCCCCGTGCAAATTTTAATCTACAACATATCCTCATCCTTTTGTGTAAGTTTGGTGATAATCTGCCCAGTGGTTCTTGAGAAGAAGATTTTTTAGCAACCAGTACTTTTTTTCTATTTTCCTAATTATCTCCCCTTGTTAAAGGGTCACAACCCCAGTTTTAGTATAAAAGGGAGCCCTTGGGCCAAGGATACCCTGTGACAAATTTGACAATAATTGGCCAAGGGGTTCTTGAGTTATGGCCCATATTCTAAAAAGTTTACGCACACCGCACAAATGGCCATAGCATTAGCTCTTTGAGCCTTTGGCTCAGAAGAGCTAATAATACTTCATGGAGCATCAGAGATGATGTTACTCTATTTTGTTGTACAATATCAACCAGTAAGAAGAGTTTATGTTATAAAATGTTCCAAAAATAGTTATGCATCCACCAGGTAAAACCTATTTCCAGAATTACATTATTTGTGGAAGTGAGTCATTAAAGTATTTATATACACCTGTAATTACAAAAGTGGAAAAAGGTACATGACACTTATTTCAAGGTATTCTATTAGTGAATAATTGCGAATTCACCCTAATTTTACTGCAAAGCTTTTTTACTGCAATGGCCCCATCTGTGGTTCTACTAGTGCAATCTAATGTGTAAAGAGCAAGTTAAAACTTAAGATAAGCCATTCATCAGTGGTATAGATGCTCCTAACAAGTACATGTACATTGCAACAGAAATCAAATTCAGGGTGAACTAATAGTGGTGCATAATACTGTGTCTTTGGACAATGACAACAAAATTTAAACAGACTCAACACAAATATATTCCTGCTTCTTTGGACAGAAAAAATGTGGGTGATCAGTGATAGGAACATTCAGCCTTCCTGTTTGCAGAAACCTTCCCCAAAACACATGCACCTCAATTACCAGTGTCCCTCTCAACATAGCAAACATGCAGTTAATACATGCATAATTTCCTAGTAAGATATTGTTTTTTTTTTAACACAAGCAAAGGAGAATAAATTTATGAAAACCTAAATATTGAAGAGGCACTTCACAAGTTAACTATTAGGAAACAAGCACTATTTTTCTGCATGCAATTTTCAGGAATATCTATGAGATTACATTGTACAGATGTTATAATTTGTAGAAAGCTTGCAGAAGTCTGCATAACATACATCTTGCACTACTAAGTTGGTCCTTGACCACTTATTCATGCATTAAACAAAATGATTCAAATGTCATTATAAACTCAAAAAGAAGACAAAATCATAAAAAAAAAAAATAATAATAATGCACATATGAAATGCCACACTGGAATAAATGCATATATTTAATTAGGTTAATCACTTTTTGTCATTGATTGTGTCTTCTTTTGATTGTGAAGAAGCAGGAAAGGACATGTACCCACTAAGATACCTCGCGGGCAGAGTGCCCCCCTGTGGCTTTTCACCCTCCATTCCTCCCGCATCATCCAGGGATTCTGAAAAAAAACAACATATTAAGTATAAGTACTTCTGTAAAGATTGTACAGTTTTAAAATTCATTTCAATTCTGAGATTCAAAAATTTTGATAAGGCCCACTTTTTTTTCAGGTACATTTACTCCTACACTCTTCTAACAATGCATATAAATATGTTAACAAAATTGCATATTTATAATTCTGTCACGGAAATATACCCAATATATCTGATTAGCAGATTACATCATAGAAGTGATAGAACTTATAATTTCATTAGCTCTGATTTCCAGCTGCCAGTCAGAATTCAATTACATTTGCTTCACAAGGATTAATCACTTGTATTTATAACCAGAAATGTGTATTGATTAATTAATGGTTTGAATTGCATATCTGAGTGCAGTGTTCCATTAATGATAACCAATAGCTATGCTTTCTTTATAGACTAAAAAAAAAAGAAGATATTCTCCCGACATTAATGTGCTTTTTCTCAGAAATTTACATGATGCCGATATTGCGGATAAATAAAAAACATGCGGAAAAAAAATTGTTATCTTCAAAGAAAATGAAAAGTTGACAGTTACTAATGATATCAACTATTTATTTCATAGCTGATTGAAAAAAAAACTTTCACAAAGCAGAAGCTTCCTCTTTTGTGTGCCCATCATGTGGGAAAGCTTCATAAAGAAACCAGCCTTAACGAAATATTCTTTGCAATTAACCAAATTACTCACTCATTTGATTTATGTTGTCAGCACTCCCAAATTTATTCTTGATTAAATGAGCAAATTCTTTAGGCTTTGCCATCATGGTGCTGGAAAAAAGAACTGCCTTTCTCAAAAAGTACTTTTGGTAAAGGGGGTATAAAAATATTTCTTATCATATCGATAAATTAATTTCAATTTATTATTAAATGAATGTTTAAAGAGAAACATTTCCATTCATATTTAATATAGGTCATATGAAATTCTTGTATACTATGACATTCAGTTGATTTATCTGCAAAGCACAGTTCTATAAATTAGAATTTGATTAAATATTGAAACAACTTACTCTTTGGCTCCTTTTATGTTGCCTACAACACCCCTGAAAATAAAAAGAAAACTTTGTTAGACTACTGGTATATAAACAAAATAATATATGCAACTTTAAACATGTTAAAGCTATCAGAATTATTGTTAGCAATTATTTACTCAGTACTAATTCTAGTTTACTATTGTAAGAGTTTAAAATTTAGTTATTAATGCAAAAAAGAAGGGACAAAAGTTAAACATTGACAATCTTCCTAGGCAACCAAAAAATACTAAAAAAAAAAACAAAGGGAAGAAACAGAGTTATGCAACACACAAATGATTGCTACATGTTATGACTGTATGTCTTCTGGAACCTATTTTTCTGAAATACAATCAGAAAGGATAATTTTTACAGTTTGGAAAAAAAGTCAAAATTGTTCAAGCGATACTGGCTTTGATTCAGAAGTACAAATATGTGACCATGCTCAGCCTATGTGTATCTACATAATAGACAGAGGATGCTGCTTTCAAGAAAACATTTTTTGTCTCTTTTTTTTTTATTTACCTAATGACATGTTAACAAATACCCAATTTCTTAACCCTAATTTTTAAAAAGCAAAAAACAAGGCAAAAACTATGATAAGAAACAGTCAACTCAACAATAACTACAAAATACCCACAACAAAAAGGGACCCAAAAATTAGAGGTCAAGGCTGACAATGTCATGCTGCAGACATTAAGACATACCCCGAGAATCCCGTGATACCATCCACGATGTTGGCACCAACACCTCTGTAGAAAACAAATGGCCATTCAACAACTATCAACAACAACACAACATCTAACTTATCTCTATTAACATACTACAACATATCTGCTAGTTTTCTTCCTTCCCTCTTCTATTTTCCTTGTTTTTTTTTTTTAAAGTTTATTCTCTAAATTCTATAGTTTTATTGTAGTTCTGTCAAGTTATCATAATTTGTAATCTTATTTCTACTGACTTAAATGATAAAAGCTAAATAAGTAACAAAACAAAACAAAACAAACAAAAAAAGGAAGGGGGGAAAATCATGCATAAAGGCTCACATACTCGCACTAATCACCCCACTGTTTCTCCTGTTACCCTCATGTGATACAGCTTAAGCACAAGACTTAACGAATGTACAAGTAGTCCAAATTTAAACCCTGTGATAAATGAGATACAAAAATATATTTCTACTTTTCTTCATGGCAAGATCATCCCAGTGTATATGACTTGTGTACTAGTAAACAGACAAGCATAATTTGACTCTATCATTTTCTTGTTATCACTATTTATTGATGGGGGATGGTTTAAATCTCTTTTTTTCCAACTTGAGAAATGTCTCAAAAGGAAAGAAGGGGCTCTGTATGTACCCCCCTTCCCGCTAAAAAATTTGAAATAAGAGATGTGTAGACACTGTGAGGTAACCTAGTATGTTAACATTTGAACTCTAATGAACTTTAAAAAACAAATATTTGTATGACCAAAAAACCCCAAAACAATCTAACAATTAGATTCTCTTACTACTTGATTAATAATAAACAATCTGAATTAATGAAATAAAACAATCAAATTCAAAATCCATGCAGTATCGAAACTTCCTTAGATAAATGGTGCCAGCAAATATATATATTTAATTTCTACTGTACAGTGTGATTCGTAGAATTTGAGTGTGCATTTAAAAGTTTTGAGAGAGGTAGAAAGTATTGACAAGCTTCTGTGGGGTTGCTCAAGAGTTTAATGTTCGTTTTTGTTTTTTAATATTACCAGTATATCTACTGATCAGTGACCAAGTTAAAACTTAAATTTTATTATCCTCACAATGAGGATAAATTTTCTGGTTTGTGTTAATATCAATATGATGGTTATATTGTAAAAATTTTGTTTAAGATCTAGTAATTGAGTATAGACAAGATATTCTGAAGCTATACATGTACATGTATATCCACTGCCCACTGTTATGTGAAAAGACTTCCTTCCAAACTCCTTCAGTATTATAGAAACAGCATACATACATGCATGTAAATGTAGCATATGTTTAGCACTGCTTTCACAATAACTATTACAGTAAACAGCTTTTTATTTGTAAGAATTTCATTTTCACATAATTGTGTGAAACTGTCTCCTCACGAAAATACCATTCTGATGTATATTTGTATTATATTTTATACAATAACCTAAATTCTTGGATATTGTTTTTTGCTTATAAATATATACATGTAAGTATCTAGCCAAAATAAGGTGTTGCAAAAATTTGGTGACCTACTGTTTTCAAACAAAGTGATTACATGTACATTTATTCTGCTGTTCCACAAAAGAAAAAAAAATATTATAATCCTTTAGAGAAGAATTTATTGGAAAAACATTCAATACTCCAAATATTTCATGGGGAAAAAAAATGATGTTAGGGCCTACATGTGGATTGCATTTTTTGATTAAAAAAGTAATGGTAGACTTAGTTGTCCCTCTTTTTTTATGCATATTTAATATAACATGATCATGATGATAAAAACAAATCTCTAGGTAGAGCACCATTAGAATTTTGTAGCCACTCTTCACCATGCCTTGTCATATTACACAATATTTCAACCACAAAATTTAATTCTTTATCTAAAAAAACATTAAAACTCTTTTACAAAAAGAAAAACCAAACAGCCGATGCATCCAACCACAGAAGCTAGAGCATGCAAGTTTACCCCTTTGTCTTGCTTTTATCTTTACCAACCGCGAGACGAAATCTGCTGTTTTTAAAATCAAAATATCACATATACTATTAACATCTTAATATTTTTTCTCGCTCATTTTAATATCTTGAAAAAAAAAAAAAAATCTCCAGAAGATTAGACTTGGAGTACAATGTTCCTTTGCAAACTGTAAATCCTCAAGTACCATTTAATCTAGGGGAATACTTATGATAGCTAAGACAAATTCTGCAGTTTGTCTACATAATACCTATGGAATAACACTAATAATATAATATTAATCATAAATAAAGCAGAGAGATTATTATGTTAAAATTTAAGTTCCATTTTCCCAAATCTCAAATACCATGCTTTCACAATTCAACCACTATGCACACAAGTCATTCCATCCTTTTTATTACTTACTTGAGTCCATGACCCATGTCACTTAGAACCTCCTTGGCCTTTTTGTGACCTGTGACCCCAGATGTTTGGATGTCCTCAATTCTTTTGGTGTAACCCTCCAGCTTTTTCTGTAGGGTACTGATGCTTTGTGTGGATTTCTGGTTTTTCTTCTCGAATACTGCTTTGATTCTGGCCAATTGTTGCTTGTCAGCACTAGCACTACTAGCCAACCGCAGGTATTCATTGACATTTTCTACAATACAATAACTTCACGATTCAAAACTTTAAAGTCTTATTAACATATGAAATACATTACTTCATGTACAATATTAGTCTTATTTTCCACTTCCTCTTCAGATGGAGAAGCATCTTTCCAATAATCCAACAATAATTTAATGGCAAAAGAAGATATTTTATTAATCTTATTGCCCTACATGCAATGCTAATACATGTACCTTTGGTCTAAACACTTTAAGATCTAGATTCCTGTAAGAGTTACCTTCCTTGGCTGCCTGTTCAGCCTTGATTTGCTCCATGGTCTTGTTCAGTTTGCTTTGATAGTGTTCGATGGCAGCTTTTGTTTTCTGGGGGTCAGAGACGTCTGTCCCCGTGGCGACATCCCCATCAATGTCATCCAGGGCCCCGTCCCCACTACTGCCATTCTCCCTACTGCTCACTTCCACCTGTGGATCCAGGAATCATTAAACGAATCATGATAGAGTAAATTATAGACTAACAAATTATGATGTGCTTTATCAAAATAAAATAAGATTTGTTGATCTGCAAGCTTAAATTTAATTTAAATGAGAGCGAAAGGAACCAGGCATACATGATTAGTATTTAAAGTATCTTTACCCTTGCGTGACATACAGGTTTTGCAAATCCTTTCAATAATCAAACTTTAAGATAAATTCTGTATATGAAAAATTTGCAATCTTTTAAAAGGGTTGCATCAATATCTCTCAGTGTCTCATTCCTTCCTTAGCCAAGATCCTAAAAAAGCATATTTATTCTGCAAGTTTTCTCACAGATATTTGTGCTTACTGTAGGAAAATGCATATGTTATTTCTATAGAAGGAATTTTACAGGCACATATGTGTACCAATCTCTGACTTGTAAATGTGGAGGCTTCCTGATTACATCGTGAAAACAAACCATATTTTCAGTAATCTACAGTTATTATTGTCTGTGAACTGGCATTGTTCAAGAAGTGATATTATGTAACTGCTATTCAAATATACCATTGTATAACATAAAAAAAAGAACTTTCCGGAACTGCAAACAGTACCAAGACTTTACATACATGAACAAGTACTTTATACATATATATATATATATGTACATACACTCTCTAAATCCTCGTTGCTGCGAACCATCTGGTCATCAGATGCTGGCATCAAATTATATGACCCGGACCGTGGTTTGGTTGCAACTCCCACATTCTCTGGTGGGGACGCTTCTTTTTTGGGCAAATTGGGGCTCTTACCAGCGGAGATTTTCTTAATGCTCTTCACTGTTTTATTAGCTTCCGACTTTTTCCTGCAAATAATCCAATCTGACACAGTCATACTAAAGGACACACTTGTTAGACATGATTCACAGTGTCACTTGACAGAAATCTGCTGATATAAATTTTCACATGAGGAAATGGGAGCTGAGAAAAAAAAATATGTATGGAAAAGAGCAACATTCAATGTTCAAGGAATGCAGGTAAACATACTAACAGATCATATTTATGCCACACCTTTGAAAGGCACATTCTTTGGAATAAGATGATAGAAAACAAAATAAATGTTATGGTAGACTGAATAATTACGGCAAATATTTAGGTCAAGTAATGTGATAATTTTGTTTTGATGCTACAAAAGTTTTTATGTTATACAGTGCATACTTTTTATGATACTGCGAATGTTGAATTAATGTGACCAAGGAATTTTAATTATGTAGAGGCACAATTAAATATAGACCAACCTCATACCAAAGGGGGGGGGGGGGGGGAACCCACAAAAACTTATCCATAATGCATCACTGTGCACTCAATGTAACGTCACTCAATAGAAAAATAATATTTGTTAGAATTTTGTCATTTGCTTATCTTAAACAATGCAAGGATATAAATTATTCAGTTGCGTTCCCTTCAATATCTCTTTTGTTAATGACATGTGGTTTTATAACAAATTTCGTCTACACATCCTATGGCCTAGAATAATAATGTCAAGCTGCAGTTTTCTTTAAATAATTTACATTTGAAAATGTGACTATATAGACTGAATAAATTGTTCACTTATTAAAAATTTAACAAATTCACTGATGGAAATATAGACTTATAATAATATATCTTGATGACTGGAAATTAAATCATCAGAAGTTAATATATATATATATATATAGAAATATTTATATAATTATAATATATATATCCATCAAACATTCCATGACAAACTATGAGGTCATGCATAGAACATGTTGTTGCTTATCTAGTACATGTATATTAATAAAAAAAAAAACTTTCATATTTTTGTTTACATGCATGCATTCAACACACATTATTGGACATATGAACATGTATACATTCATTACAAAATGCTGCATGCCTAATTCACATGCAATTAGGAACACATTGAACATTTCATTCATGCTGCCTTAATTAATATAATAGGATTTCACTATTCTATGTATTAAAAAAGATGATGCATTCTAACATACAATACTTTGTAAGCCAGTCTATAAGTCTAATATGTCTATAATAATCTACATATAAGTACATGCTCAGTATTTTCTGCTAGCATCAGAAACAAAATGTTTGCAACATGTACACATGTAAACCAAGTACCACAACTGCCTACTAGGTACTACATTCTTAATGATCAAATTGTGCATTTAAAGAGAACGATTTTAAATCTCTGAAGGTGTAATTCCTTTCTTAAAGGTGCACCTCTCTTCTTAAAGCGCTGCACTTCCGGTATTCAAAGTACAATGGTCTATTATTCACACTAGTGACTACAATCTTTTAATAATTACTGTAACACTCATTAAGCTTGTATTTCAATTTCATAAATAGATTACACACTCCTTTATTAATGACATAAAAAAAATTAATGGAATGTAGATTTATTATTCATAGTTCACTATCACAGTGCTTATGATAAACAACTTACTTAAAAAGATGCATCATTACAACTTCACTTAGCTTAATATACCAAATTTGATTTGTTGTTTGAAATATATATGGTTTAAATATCACTTTATAAAGAAAATATAAAAGAATGCCTTTTTTTATTTGTACTGCGACTTAATTTTAATTAACTTTTTTTGTAGTGATAATTAATGTTGATGTAATATATCATCTGTGTGCAAATGAAACAAATCCAAATGATGACATTAATTTACATTTTATGACCTACACATGGTTTGTGATTAATGAAATCTTAATTCATTTATATTTTCTTCTTTTTTTAAATTACTTAATAATATGAATAAGTTAAGAGTCAATTCATAAAAAAATAAAGTTTTAGGAATATAAGTTTAAGGGAGATAAACCAAAAAAATTAATTAAATGAAAATAACAACTTGTGGAGATGAAAAGAGGATATATTTTATAGATAATTTAAAAAAGGCTGCAATCTCAAATTCAATGCAGATCAGATGGAATCATTCCATACATGCACTTAGTCCTAAATCATTTGAAAGTGATATTTTACAGAAAAAGTGTCACCCAATTAATCAAACATATTAAGAATTATATACGTAAATTCATGACTCAATAAAATTTCAATGTACAGGCAGATGCAGCAAAAATTGGCTATATATAAGAAAAATCCACACATCAATATGAAAGAAGATTTTTTTTTTAAATTAGAATCTTTACAATACAATGAGAACATGCAATTTTTCTTAAAAATCGATTCCTATTTGAAATTTTATATAGTCTCATAAATTACCTGTCTTCTAAAGATAAGAAGCTCCTTTCAAATACAGAGTTCAAATTTAAATGATCAAGTAGTAGTACTTTAAAGATTTACTCTACACATAGGAAGTATGAACATGGGCATTAGCAGCATTAGTAAGCAGTTTAAATTTCAATAGGCCAGCGATTGGCAACGAACACAAACAGTTATGATAACACTACATACACATAACAAATGAACAGTGACAGTAAAAGCCCTTGACCTTTGTGTGCTTATAACAGCAGACAGGAGGATTCCTACAATGCAGAGCAAGAGAGAGAGAGAGAGATAGGATAGAGAGATGGGAGCAGTCAAGGGCAGAGAACTCATACCTCACTGGAAAACTGAAGCGACGGCCAGGCAGGTTTCCAGAATTCATGAAAATTAACCACAACTAAAAATAAATGGTTTAGATAAATTTACAGCATTATCCTATGATCATTCCTTACACTGCAGATGCTCTTTGAAGGAAGGAGATATATGTAGGATCATATGTTCACATGCTTGGAAGGCACCCAGGATAATCAATCCGGTTTTTGTATGGTATTCAAAGATTATTCAAATGCTGTACCCTTTCTACATTGTTTTTTATAGAAAAGATTTTTTTTTACCAAATTATGCAATGTTTGCTATTCTGTGGAAGCCAATTTTCATGAAAGAAAAGAAGAGTCATATTCAGTGAATTGTTAATTCTAGTAGAAAACAAAAGCCCGACCTCCTGCGCTGAACTTCCTAATATATGGCTAACATCCAGCTTAAACCAAACTTAGTCTAAAATTAACAATTCTGAGAAGGTTGTTCATCCCACTGTAATCAGAATTCATTGACCATTACAAGAGTACATTCTGTTGTGTCAATGTCAAATGCTTAGTTTTCCGATATGTTGTACGATCTCTATAAATACTATAATAAAACCCCCTCTTAATTCTTGGGAATTCATTTTCTTGGAATAATTTGATCTGAAAACATCTCTGCAAGACAATGGGCAGTCATTTCATAAAAGTGGCATTTATACACCCAGCATATGTGCTTATTCCAAAACCATCAGTATGTAAAAAATGGTCTCAAGGTTTACAATGTGACCCAAAGTAGGTATAATCATACCCTATGATCTGCTGACTTCTAAAAATCTAGCTAATCAAAATGTGGTCAAAATGACTATTATTTAGCTTGATGTTCATATGGTCAATCTGCGTCATAGAGATACCTAATTAAAGGTACCCTCACAAAGAGTCTGGCAATACAATTAGTTGTACAATCCGATCAGCTGATATGGTCCGATTTAAATAACTTGGTAATCCTTCTGATCATGCCACTAACATTACTTCCAGTCATTGAACTTGTGCCGAATTTAAGACTTATATTGTTAGCCGTCCTGTATGTAATAAAAAATTTTTTAATAATCCCATACTGTCCAAGACAGAATTTGATCTTATGATCGGTGTCAATAGGTAACTAGGTTATAGCTTATCAACCATGACCTTACAATCTCATTGGTGTATATCCTTCTTTGTTGAATCAAGCATTATTTTTAGTGCATGTGACTTAAGCATTATTTATGCCAGCTTATTCATCTTGTATTTTTTAAGGTCAGTTGTGACAGCTGCAAAGTTCACAGTGGGAAAAAGCTTAAACCAACCCAACCCAACCCCAAGTAAGGGTATGTCTTAATAAACTCTGAGTTTGCCAAGCTTAGCTAAATAAATGATTGATCAATGGATTCAAACCCAATCCATGTGACATTGTTAGTAGCCTTAACCACTGCAACAAAACACTCTGACTGTAACAAATACAAACATTTGTTCAATATTCGTACAATATAGTATGTAATGTATACATAAACATTTTTATGAATGTTCAGTCACTACAATTGTTTGACATTTATTGTGTTGATTTCAGAATGAAGTAAATCTATGAATTTCCATAAGTACAAGTTAATCCACCAAAGTTAACTCTGTCTAGACAAAAATTGTGAAAATCATAACGGCAGAAATTTCATTTCGGTGCAATCTTGCATCTTTGCTTAGCAGATTTTACAAGTACCGGTAGACCCTAAAAGCTGTTGCAGCATAATTTCCAAATTCACTGAATAGGGATGCTATTAAGTATACAATTTGAACAAAAGAGATTCATTTTAAAATGATTTATATATGAGCCTTTTTATTCTACTTATAACTTACATTTCAATAAAGAAGAATTCTCACCCAGAACCCAGGAGAATATATACTTAGTGAAACATTTTTACAACACTTAGAATCCACTTGGATTTTACATCTACTTAGACAACAACAAAATAATATGTATTTAATATATATATTGTACATTGTATATATGGATAGAAATTCAAAATCTAAAAATAGAAAACCTAACATGCCATATAAGATCTACATTAAAATTTAAAACTGAAACTGTACTCAAGTTAAAATTTCCATTCTTGTTAGTAAATATATGTTTGGTTCCACAAAAACTCATGCTCTGTTAATTTACTTGGAATATATATTCATAACTACATGTATTCCAAAGGGAATAAAACAAAATGAATAGAAAAAAAATTCTATGCACATAACATATTATAATATGTATATTTTCAATCTGACTAAAGTACACCAGTCACTTATGGATATATGAGAACATTTACTGGTTCTCCACGACAGTGTACTTACATTATCTTCAGAAACCTAGAGATGAAGTAGTAGGACCCCTGGTGTCAGCCGCACACAAGAGAGTAATCCCCCTTGCAACATTCCTCTTTTACCCACCTCTACATTGTAGTATCCTGAAAAAATTCATAAGTTTATTTTTCATTATTAGCGTAAAATATGGAAGAGTATAGTAAAATCAGAATTAAAAAGGAAAATGATTAGATGCTTTCGATCACAAATGTCTGCACATACATTTACAGTAATTGAATTTTATTTTAGGATTTTTATTCCTTAGGATTGTGGTTCAACATCCACCCCTCCCCCAATTAAGTTTAAAATATTGGACTTTATAGTTTCTGGAATAAGAAAAACACCTGACTTTTGAATAGCTATAGAATGAAAATTTTCCTCCTCATAGTTATTAAGAAAATAAACATATATGCATAAAAAACAAACTATATTCTCTTTGTTTACACTGTATTCTATTTGTGTATACACGAAGTAATTTCAGTTTACACGTCTTCATTGATTGGACAAACTGTTTTTATTTCTTGTTTACATTAATCCACTTTGTATAAGACCAGGTGAATGAACTCTTTTGAAGAACACTGACAACTTTCATGCCTTCTTTAGACATTTGACCTCTGTGCACCTCTAATGAGACCCTGAATAAATTTAATCCCATTAATGACTTTTATCCTGAAATTAGTGTTAAATGATCAAAAGAACCTGGATCCACAAAACTTCCTCATTTCCTTTCTTTCCTATTGATTCTGTTTATAGTCTGAGTAATGATGAAACACAAAGAGAAAAAAAAAATACTTCTTTCACAATATTAAAGACCACTGTTAGCTAAATTTAGTTACAGAATGATATCCTGTATCAAAATAAGGTTGATAAACAAGGAAAAGAACATCCTTATATACATCTAATAATTATAACAAGACTTTTAATAAATGGGCACCAAGAGTTTGGGGTCAAAACAGGCTTAGCCTCTGTGATCTATCCTTGAATAAATATGATTCCATTTTACATTTAGTGGTTTGGGCTACATCAACCTGCATGGGTACCTCAGTATTTGGAACATCTGACTAGTAATGCAGGAGTTCAGGGTTCTATTCCTGACCCCCAGTCACACATTTTCTCCTTTCTTTTTAGATTTCATGCCATTGATCATCCCTAGACAGGCTGGATTTGCAGGGGAAAGTCCTGCAAGGGGCAAAAGAATCTAGGTAGTGTCTTTGAGGGTAAACACAAATCACAGAGGGAGGGATGTAGTGGTTGGGCTATATGGACTGTGGATATCAGCCTGGGTAGCTCAGTGGTTATAAAGTGAATGTCTAGTGAAGTAGAATGCAAGGGTTTAGAGTTCGATTCCAGGTCTAGCTATAAATTTTCTCCTTCCCCTTTACATCCACATATCAACTCCAGATCAGGTGAGCTAAAACTGTTATAACTAGTTGTCACAAGGCATAGCACAAGTGTGACTCTTCCCACATAAGCAAATGAGGTTCACAAGTGATCAAACTGCATTTGTCACAGTCAATAACAGAAAAAAGAAAGTCAGAGAATTGCTCATAAATGTGATCTAGCTAGGGGACAGAGACAATTAAGTCTGGGAGTCTTATTTAAGATATATATTTATAGCACATGATATAAAGATAACACATAAATATTTGTCACCTAAGAGTTCAATAATGTAACTTAGGAAATCATTAAGCATGAGCATAACAACCCTCTTGTGTATTCAGCATCAATATACTTATTCTGAAACTATTTATATTTTCTACCAGTTAAGTGCATTAACAGCTTTCAGAGGGATGGCGTTACGTTAATGTCATAATTGAATGAACAAACTGAGATCAATCATTAACAAATAGAATTTTTTCAAAAGTAGTAAATTTCTATAATGTAATCATGATAATTGTCCAAAGTTAAATGTCCCAAATTGGTTACCTTTCCACTAAATAGAAAAAGCAATCTAAGCACCCAGGTCCATTGAAACAGCATTTTTCACATTTATCCACCAAGTCTTGATATAACTGTAGTATTTTGTGAACTCCTGAAGTTCAAACCTTTGTCCACTTTAGCTAACGGAAAGTTATTAAATTCATAAAGCTTGGAGTTCCCAACACACTCAAGTTATTTAAAATTCCTGACAAAAGCTTCCTTTACATCACTATAAATTAAAAACATAGCAGAGAACTAGGTGCACATATTACATTGAAACCAATACGTCTTTCCTAAAAATAACAACAGGTAATCAATATATGCTTACGAAAAACCCAAATCAGTTTGAGATTCGATCATTGATCACGACACAATATTGCTGAATACTTTTATTTCTGAGCCCTCAAAAACGTCAGAGGGTACCTGCACTTAACTTGCACCTTCAAAATTATATCTCCTAAAGTTTAAAACCCACTCTTTCAGTCTTTGTCATTGGGTACAGGTGAAGTATTAAATCAATAAAATAACTGATAAACATACTTCATCATCAAAAATATTGGTGGACACTTGTGACAACTTCAAGTTCTGTTCCCTTGCAATGTTCCCTTGCAATGAGTGTTCAGTCATTTTTACTGGGCAAAAATTCCTCCTTCATTTCAGTTTGAAGAACATTCCTTTCTAATAAAGCATATTATAAGCTAAGCTAACTTGCTAAATTTAATCTTTGTTCATTATAACTAAAATACCTATCTTCTTCTTTTTCACAGGGAGACTATGAAAAACACATTCTTTTGTAATAATTCCAAACAAACTTCATATGTGCCATGGGCTTAGTCTATATAAAAAGAAATTGATTACTGCAGAACCCACACAGCAAGATTATTGTTCATACTGTATTATAATGTGTACGTCAATTTTCTGATGCAAAAGATGAGACTTCCAACTGATAGAAACCCAACAATTGCCATTGACTACATTGAGCTTTGGGCAGCTGGCTATAGCATTGGTACATGTAGGTACATCTGTTATCAGCATGATCTCAAAATGCCCATTTTGACAAGAAACATGCCCTCCTTAATCCAATGTTAACATGACCACATCTTCCCAGTTTTTCAGTCAATCTAAAACATCTATAACATTGATTTCAGACTTCCCTTTAGCATGTTTAATAACATCAGTTCTTTGTTTTCCAGACTTGTTCTCTGACTGTGATCTTTCTGATTGCATAACTCACTGAATAAGCAGGAAGAAAAATTTTCCTATCTTTGGATCCTTGGATCAATGTACTGAATACTTTATAAATTAATGTACCAGTATATGAAGGCATCATAATAATTTGATTGTTTATCGAGTCTAGTCAGCAAAATATGAAGAATTACTGAATACAAGCCTGACCTACTGTTAACAGGTTAACTTTTGCAAGTATGTAGTCTAAGATTTGTGGATGGAATAATCAAAACACTGACATTTATTAAATTGTTAAGGTTTGCCAAAATACCACAGTATATGTACATCAATGTTGATTCGAGATACATGTTCTCTTTTTTTTTTTTTTCTTTATTAATCAACTTGTATACCCTGTACACATGTGAAGCCTTGATAAACATTCCTTTAGTCTGCAGGCAACAATATAATAATGATCAAACACTTAGAGTACAAAATTCAATTTAAAATCGGAAATATTTCAGTCTAGGAAATACTTGAAGCAAGGCAAGGTAACTAAGAAACCATGATGAAAGGGTCAAAGTTTAAGACCTCCAAGGTACACCCAGAAACACAAAAAAAATTCAACTGTCCATACACCTTCAGTCCTCTTCATTTTGTTGTATATCTATATCTATATATATAATATACAGATACTATGTATTTAAATCTTTCTGAGCTTAGCAATGCAAAAATCTCCCACTCTGAATGGTGTTTTTCCACTGCAATGATAATAAACTTGCCATGATTGGGTGGACAAAATCATCACCTTACAATCGGACATCTTTCTGTACAGTTCAGAAATCAATGAGTCTTGGACTCTTAACACGATCTTGAGATCAATCTCTCTCTGTACTCATTACTAGGAAAAGGGTTCAAGAAATCACAAACTCCAAACACAACAATCTTATATGAAGGCACATCAGCCCCTAATTAATAAATACTCCATCTAATCAAGCTCAAGGACATTTAGCAAAGAAATCAATAAAAAAAAATCTCTGGATACTTACCAACATTATTCCAATAGCATTAAAAAAACTTCATAGTAAATCATAAGGAAATGAAAATGAGGAAGAAAATTTGAAAGTGTCTATGATCATGCTGGTAGACTGAGGAACAGTTTCTTTCAAAAGTAAATTCTTCCATGTGTGCAGCCTATGAGAGTAAATTATGAAATATAAACAAGAGGTTCATTGGCCACTTTGTTCACCTGAGTCACCTAGTAATTTTCATGACAAATACATAAGAAAATGAAACCATGTGCACTAGCCATCAACTTATCATATGACTTCAGAACTTTTAATCAAGCACATTGAAAAACAGTTTATTCCAACATGCACTGGGACACAAATTTTGAGTCAGAATAGACAGGACGTTGGATTGCATATAATGTCAAGATCAACATTAAAAATGAAAATGAAAGTCAGAATTCACAGTGAAACGGATAGCACAGATGTCAGATAAACAGTGTTTACTGTATATAATTAAACTGGAAGTCAAGCAGAGCAAATGTAGCATTCATTCTCTGTAAAACTATTGTAATCTAGCTCCTATTGTTATGACCCCACCCTACCCCAGGGACCAAAATTTGAACAAACTTAAAATCTTCACTATTTGGAGATGTGTGTATATTAACTTATTAAAATTACAGTCATATGTACTTATTGTGGCAATTCTTGTTATTATTAAGTAGAATCTCCAATGCACGGAAAAGATGTACATTAGTTCAACTAATTCTAGCCCTTCTATTCTTGAATCTGCACTAAACAATGCTAAATAAAGGAGCGTTCTTTTATGTTTTGTTTATTCTGATGCAGTGCGGTTCTTGATATTAAAGATTTTTAAATGGTGTCCTCGCCTTTTGTCTTAAAGCTGTCTGTTTTCAGGTGTAATTTTCGTATGATTATGCATGTTCTTCTATGTTTTTTCATCATATCATATATTTCCTGCAATTCATAAACAAACCTCTTGGTAAAGCATGTAAATAGGAATTACATAATAAAGATCTAACCATATCTACATCTGACATGCACTTGTTTCCCCCCTTAACTCCCTATCTTTCTTCTCTTCCCTTACTTGCATCCCTAAAACACCAAACCCACTAGACATAAATGATCAGATGTTTAATTAATGTTTCCCCAATTCTGCTGATGGTAGATTTTTAATTGGATGTGGCGAAACCAGAAAGAGCTAGGGACAATTTAAGCATTTTTACATGTGTAATCAATGCCGTGAATAAGATGTCTGCAGCACATCTAAAACATGACCATTTGACACTGACCACAAAACAACCTGTGGATGTTTGTATGCGTCATTTCCTATACTGTATTGTGCTATGACAAAACGTACTACATGGGTCAATAATTGATAGAATACACTGTGCATAATTAAGTCATGTGGACGTGTGCTTATATAATTTTTTCTTGAATAATTAGATAATCCCCAAATTGCTAGCAACAAAATTCACTCAGAATCAGGTGTGGATTCAGGCAGGGTGTTCCCGACGCATGCCCCCACTAAAACAGAAAAAAATCAGGTAAAGGTTAGCTTCCCTGCTTGATGACACTGTCATACATTGATGTAATATAAGGAAAATTACCGATACTTAAGTTATGTGTCAAAATAAAGTCTACTAACTGCCAATTCTCATCAGCTTATGGGGGCTTTGCTCCTGGGGCCCCATCAGGCATTATCCTTGACCTAGCTGCTTCTAGTTAGGACCTCGAAGGTACCCAGACCCCTTGCCATCTAACACAAGGTCCTCAATCCCTGCCTTAAAACAGGCCAAAGAATCATACATATAATAAAGCTAATTCCAAGCTATAGTGGTACACTATCTCTAAACTCAGTAACTCATTGAATTCTGGCTAACAATAATAGCTGCTACATGTAAATGCTGGCCTAATTGAGCATGCATAAATGATGCTGGTCAATAATGTGAACGCCAATAAAAGATGGATAATTTATCATTTCTTTATTGCTTTATTCTCGTGTAAATTACTACCTAATAGTTTATTGATGGTGCTACTGGACTTCTAGGTTCATAGTGTAATCCTTTTATGGTATGTACGACACTTTAAAACATATACAGTGTCAACCTAGAATACATACATGAAACAGGAGGGGAATGCACCAATATTATTGGTGCAAGTTCCTTTTTAATTATACCAATTCAATATTTCAAAAAATTATCGCACCAACGAAATCATCTTTTTGAAGAATTAAGTTTTAAATATTTTATTATTGTGAATATGCATTGTTGAAGAAAGCATGCATCTATTCTATTAATAACATTAAATTAGCAGAATTAATTGCAGTGGGTGAATTTAATTGGTAGTTGGAACAGATTTTTTTTTTTGTCTAACAATTAAGTTAACATTAAGTTCAATTCAAAACCACACAATAACAAAGGAAAATTGTGAATTTTAAAGTGATGAAGAGGAAATAACTCTAAACAAACAAACTACCAAAAAGCTAGAGGATTTTATTGCAATTTACTGAGACAGGTGTATCATATCGGAAAAGAGACACAGCCTGAGAGGACAGCAATTAAAATGTTTTTAATGTCTTCTTTTGTTGAGGTAACATTATAATATACCGGTACATACCAGTATTATACACTGATATATTCAAGGAATGGGATTCACAATTTCACATCATCTCAGAACATGAAATGTAAATCAAAACAAACGGATGACATGACACACAAACCCACAATCTTAATACACTTGACACACAATGAAAAATATATATATACTCTGTACATTGATAATTCAGTCCGTCTAAAGGTGAACAATCTAGTAGCAGCTTAGGACTTTCACCAGATATACACAAAGAACATTTTGACCAGTTTAAATAAATACTGTATCAATCTATGTAAACAAAGTATCAGCAAGAGATTTTTTATACAGCTCATTACCCACTTTGGCTAAATCTGACTCAGTCTTCATATCTCAAGGCTATGTTCGGTACAATGTGACATCAGAATTCAGATGGTGTTTTAGAAATTTTTTCACATGACATCAGTCCTACCTGGTACAAAGCTAAGTACTAGAAAAAAGTTTTCTCAAATCAAAACAACTTTCTTTCCATGTAAATACATTAAGGATTGTCCGTACCAGCATGCCTCCAGGTTACTATAAAATGTTTATAGGTATCTCTTTTTTGATATATAATAGTAATAAAAGAACTTATTAATTTTAAAACTTAATTTAGTTTACATCTATGCCTGAAGAATAATCTTGTTAACTGAAATTTAAAAACAGGCATAATGTACAAACTGTTCAATCTTCATGTGTATTACATGCATAGGCTTTGTTCACAGTATGCTTTAATATATTTCCAATCAAAACCCTGTGTACAGGTGTAGCTCATCAAAAATGTCTCAAGCCAGTCACACATCAAATGAATGTATTGTCAATGTGGGTAGGCTATCTAACTAATTATATGGAATTACAAAGTTCTACATCAGATCCTGACAATATCATGTACTTTTATGGTACTGTACTAAAATCTTTTACATCATGAACAACTGATGTCTAAAACTGCTGGAGTACATGCAAGCTAGGTCATGTCCACATATGCAATGTACATGCTCAGTAGCATTACGAAAAGTGTTCATGCATAGTCCCTTTTGCATGTAGATATTTGTTATACTCCAGGGTTCAACACTAACTTTTTAAGGCTTTAGTCCAGCCGGACTAGTGCTTCATTACTTTTACTAGTCCGCACGCGATTTTATTAGTCCGTCAAAAAAAAAGAAACATCAATATTTTTTAACATTAATTTAACATGACAATGAATATACGTTTTATTTTTGGAAATAAACAAAGTATTTACGTGAAATATATTATTCCACAGATTCATTGATATCTCGCAATCAGCAAGTATGATCGTATTCCCGATCTCATTTTTTTTTTTTTTTTTTTTTTAACATTACATCCAAAACGTCCAACATCTTTCTTTAAAGTGTCATACTAAATCATGATCGCTAAAACCTTATACTTCATATTGATCAGTCAAAAAATTAAGTGCTGAATTGACCCAGCATTGCGTAACTACCCACCAAAAGCTAGAAATCTAAAAATACATGCAGGATTTTCCAGTAAAAGTTGTCGAGAATCGGACATCAGTAATTTATTCATACTGTTTTTCAGAAATTTTTATTGGTCCGTTCGGACTAATTAGCCACATATTTTATTAGTCCGAATGAAAATGTATTAGTCTGAGACTAACGGACTAACGACTAACGTTAGTGTCGAACCCTATACTCATTATCCTGTAATAAAAACAACAGAATATTTCAGACTGTTAGATGGCATGCAGATTTTTATTTTGATTCATACATGCACTCACACTTGTTTAAGTCCACTTTTAACATATACTGTACGTTGCATTAATGTGAAATTACGTATGCCACATTCAATATTTTCTCCAAAATTCAAAAGCTTTTGTTCAAAACAGACCCTGCAATAATTATTTACCAAGATAAATTTTGCTTTTGCCCTCAGATATCAGAATTTAGATAAGATTACATAAGAAGATTTTTTTTTTCAAAGGCTATGGTAAATGACATTATTTTAATCGGTGCAAAGACTGCAGGCAAGAGCATAACAAGATCTAGAGATTGTCACAGAACTAACAGACTTGCCAGGAATGAAATCGACATCGGAAACTTTAATTCAATTACAAACTTGTCACTTGTGATTAATAAGCAATGTAATACATCTTGTCTCTCAATGACAGGAAGTCACTGATTCACAAACTTGATTTTTTTTTTTACCAAAGCTTTTAGTTTAGAAAATGACAAAATTAGACAGTTTTTTCTTACTGAATGTTTTTTTTAACATGAACCTTTGATAACTCTATCAGCACTGAAAACGAGGTAGTGTTCAAACTGTTCATTACTCAATCCAAAATCATAATGCAACTCTTCACAAATTCAAGTCAACATCAGCATGGACTGATGGATGTTCGACATGTTTTTGCTTTATTGATAGAAACATATACTCACATTTTACCCATTATAGAGCGGAATATTAATCCATTTACAGTATCACAAACAATAGTTTTCCCAAAATCACACACATATTTTCTTTAATTGCTGCAGCACACAGAAATATTTCTCTAACGGTCAGGGGGTCGTGCAAATGTCAATAACCAATATCGTTATGTCAAGAGAAATCGATCAAAAATACGTCTCTTATAACTAATTCAAGTGCATGTTTGCAGAATGGAAGTTCATTAAAGGAACAAAAAAATTGTTTACGTTACCATCATTCAACATACCTAGTTTAAATCACTTGACATGCTCCACCAGTCTGTAGATCGTCATAAACCGGAAGTGCAGGGAATGTGTTCCACGAAAGCGCCCTCATGCGGTAATTAAAAAAAATGTGGCGCGGATCTTCATGGGGGGATGAGGGGCATATTCTATACATAGTATCTATACGTCCCTGGGATGATTGAGTCTTAAGATGATTAAAAATTATATATGGTCAGATAATACATATAGAAAAGGGCTTCCACACACACCCTGGCAACCCATCCATGCACACAAAAAGAGGTACGGAGCAAATAAGAAAGACTTGAATATCCTTATGAAGAGTATTCATATTAGATGCGCATAAAAATTAAAAATATTTTACGAAAAATAAGCTTGGACAAGAAACAAAATAACATTATTTATGTTTTTGTTGAGATAACGAAGAGTCGAAATAACTTCAACATTGAATGTTGAAAAAAAAGAAAGATTGTAGGATGGCATATTTTTGTTTAATAAAAAAAAATGTTACAATTTTATGCACTAGATCAGTTACCAAGAAACTTAACCAAACTGTTTGAGTTAAAGTGGCTTTGAATGAAAATAAAAATGGGGTGTTTTATCGTGAAATGTGCAGATAACAATACAAATCGGGAGCAGAGCAAACACGGACCTCCAAAAATATCAGAGGTAGGTGGGATTAGGTGCCATGGAGGAGTGAGCATCCCCTGCCGACCGGTCACACTCACCGTGTGCTCCCTGTCATGATCGGTAAATAACGGAAAATCCGTCGACATTCAGTGTGTAAATAATGGCCTAACAATTAGTATGAAAAAAGTCAGTCAGCAAATAACTTAATGATAGATTGTATTTGCTGACAAGGTCATTGTAGCGACCATAAAACTTACGAAATGATGACTTTAAACGAGATTATTGATATTCTTGTTTCATCAACTTGTTTGTCAATAACTTACCTCCTTTTAGAAATTGTTCATACGTAGAGCATGCTCTTGCGTATCGAATCAGCTGAGAGATATATACGCGCCATATGCAGTTGATAAGGGCCGGTATATTGCTGCACAAGTAAGGGAAATTGACGATTGAAAAGTTAGAGTATATAATCTCGTTTATCATTAAGTTTTGTTCGATTACCATTAACGTCTTTTTCTAGTAAAATGTCCAAATATGAAACAGATGTGTCGAATCTGTGGTATATTTTATTTTAAACTCACTGGGATATACATGTATCGTGTCGACATATCAATGGAAATAACTATATATAATTGTTAATTGATACATGTAATACGTCGTCGATATATCGAAATGTCGAGTTGAAGGCCATAGTAAGAGGTTTCTTTCTCTCATGTATAAGATTTTGAATAAATTTTGCTTCATATGAATACAAAAATGGTCTGCTAACAACGGGGTGCAATTGGTACCCATGGGAAATCCAAAGATTGTTGGAAGACCTGGTCTCCAAAAAATCACATAGATATTGTCAATCAGAAACTCAAGCATCTTTTTAATATCAACTTCAGAGTATTTGTGTGTAGAATCAGAATGTTTTTTAACAAAATAATTTTGCAAAAGTTTCATTTTTCTTTACATGATGCTATTCTGATGGTTTTCTTTTAGAGGCTTAATTCCTTCCTTACTTCTGTAAGAGTATCTGTCACGAAGAAAAAAATGTATAGGGAAGAAGATGCAAAGTCTTTACAACCATTGCTCATTCGGGATACAGTTAAAAAAAGATTAATTGTTTTGCGTTTAAAACAACGAAAGGGTAGTAACTCTTTGTGGCTTGTACTCTATATACACAAACACAACAAACCATTTCAGTCTTGTTTGTTACCAAACATTTTATTATAAGTCATTGATTAAATATTTTAAAACTATTCTCCAAATGTTTTGAAACTCATTCTATGGACAAAAAACCATTAAAAAATTCTCGATAATGTATACGAATTTCACCAATAAAAATATTTTTTTCTTAATAAAAAACTTTAAAAATTCCATGAAAAAATTCGCAATGGGCATTTAATAGAGATTTATATTAAAAAATGTCCGTTATATATGAGTGTGAAGCGAATCTCTGGGGAAAGGAGCGAATCTACAAAGACTGGTCAATCATGTTGTCAGCAGATTGACCGTACAGCGGACTCTGTATCATCATAACCACGTCATCAAATGTTACTCCAATTCACACCGGAAGCAACGTCCCAAAAATGTCAACAATTTTTTCTTCAAAGTACGTTTCTTGGTTACCAAAACCTGGAAAAGAACGGTTGGAATTTGTCAAAGATGTAGTTGATTTGTACAATTTTGGTTACTAAAAATTGAAAGCTTTAATTGCGTTATACCTTTGAGAGGTCGATAACTGGTGATCGTCCAGACGTGCTGATGAAGGCGAAACGGAACGGGTATCCAAGTGGCACATTGTGTACTGGTTCTCTGCGAGGTGTTATCTGCAAACAAATATTACATGTTTTAAAAATATGAAAATAATCATTTACTCTTTAATAATAATTTTAAAAAAAATCAAAGCCGCATGTTCGGTGAGAGTACCCTGCCATGTTTTTTATATATACTAAGTAATTTTATATCTCATTTTCTTTTAAGATGCTTAATCTTTTCTCTAGTTAAATTTTTATTTTACCTTTGTTTCAGGGAGTGTCATGCTGTCGATTTTAAACAAGAAAAGCTTTCTTGGTATGAATGATTCCAATTCTTCCTCCCGCCAATTTCGCACATCAGTATTCTGTAAATTTAAGATAAGAAGACACCTATGTAGTATTTTTTTTTATAATGATGAAAGTTTAATGAATGAGTGTTTTCTTTAAATTAGAACATTGTGGGTGTTTCGATTCAGGAAAGAAAATTAAATCCACTTTTGAATCTCTCCCTCTCTCTCTCTCCATGCACACACACATTGTATATCTATACCTTTATCTCATTGTAGAGAGAGTCAATGTCTCTGTGTGTTGCAGCTGTTGTTATGGATTCCTGAAATAAACACGACATTTTAAAAATGTAATCAAAAGTCAAATGTGTGTATCACCCCATCAAACCATTACATACTAGTAGGCTTGGAAAGAAACATTAGAGAAGAGAAAGTATACGCGATGTTTACTCCTCTGGCGATTCAGCTTTTAATTTTACTAGTAAATCATGTTCTGAAGTAAAAATCATTTTCTTCGAATCTTTTATCTTGTAATAACTGTCCGATTTTTTTCCCTTCTGCATATGAAATGTACAATAGGTACATGTGAAAAGGTAACAACGTAAACTAGTCTACATGTATTAAGAAACTTACAAAGACTTTGCTTGCCATGGCTTTTATTTCATCCATCTTTTTTAAGGATTGCATAGTCTTCTCTAGAGATTTCATTTCTTTCTATAATAATCAAGAATGATTACGTAAAGGATAAGTATCGTTTACGTTGTACTTTTGCATAACGTTTGCAAGGTTAGAATTATAATAAATGTATATTCTGACATTGTGTAGTTTACTGATTTTTATTGATAAAAATCAGTAAACGACAATTGTAATTATCTAGTACTCTCAATAAAAAAATTAAAGGGATATTAATATCATTGATTTTTTTTATAATGAATAAATAATTAATATATTTTCTAAATAGTACATGTATAGAACCATTTTTTACTGAATGTTTAACTTGATAGTAAAATACAAATGTTACTCACGCACTGCTTGTTTTCTTCTGTCTTCAAATAAAAGTAGAACGGTTCACTCGCCATTCCTGATACCGATGCTTCATCCCTTAAAAAATGAAATATGACAGACTGTCTAAAATGTAAAAACTTCAAAATGGAAAAACTTTAAGGTTTAAATCATAATAAAGTATAATACCGGAGAAATAAATATTGAAATAAAAGCGTATTTACATGGTAAAAACGGTGTACACTGTTCCTTCACGACGGCGTGTTTTGATTACAGCATCTATTATTACGTCACATGAAATATGATTTAAGCATTGTGACGTCATAATATTTCAATAAAAGCATAGACCTGAAGGTCTATGATAAAAGGAAAAAGTCATTCCACAGAAAATTTGAGAATTACAACAGTTTATATTTTAATGCAGATTTGTAGATAAGCAATTGGTTACTCACATGTAAAAAGTTTATAGAAACCAGAAGTCTCTGACGAGACTGTAGCTCTACTGGTTTGTACTTATAACTTTAAGGAAAAAGAATGTAGCATTTGAACTTGAAACTTTGCAACAGCAATCAATAGAATAATGATCCTTGATTTAGTCTCTTTTTGTTATTTATTGCAATCAGACTAAAAATGTAGGAAAAGAAGCCTCTAGGAGTAGAAGTTGAAGAAAACATTAATTTAGATAATATTTCGAATGAAATAAAAAAAAACCCCACACATTATCAATCCAATCTTGTTTGCTGAAACTTTTTATCCATAGCCATTTAATGATAATTTGAGTCAAATTAAATCAGTGCGGGAGTGAGTCACTTCCGCACCTGCACCATTACGGAGATCCTAAAGAGTTGTAGCCCTCAAAAAAAAAAAAAAAAAAAAAAAAAAAAAAAAATCGGAGAGGGCTACCTTATTGCAGCTATAATTGTAAAGGAGACCGCTATAGATGTTCCCCAAATTCTCATCCTACACCCTTTAGGGTCCCATTTCCTCTAAGCTTAATTAAATTAATTAAAATCTTTGAATTACAGATTTCCAAAGTATTTGGGAAATAACAATGAACATACTGTGTACAGGGTTATTTTCGCCTGGTCTTATTTTCGCCCTTTCACAGTTGCAAATAAAATTTTACCCCGTTTTAAATTCGCCCAGTCGCAGTTCTATTTAAAAAATTATACTGTGTACTTTGAATTCGCCCCGTTTTAAATTCGCTCGCCTGTGAGAATTTAAGGGCGAAAGGGGCGAAAATAAAACGGGGGCAAAAATTTCACTGTATACAGTAGCACAATGAGCAAACACAAATCAGATTTAAATACACGTGCAGACACGATTTCGAAAATTACCATATACATGTACATCATCTCATAGAATGCCATAATATAAAGCTCCATTTTGGATTTCAAAGAATTTCACTGAAACTGTAGAAAGTTACAGCCAACATGAATTTTAACCAGTCGGAAATCAGCGCACGCGCGTGCATGTCCTCGCATTAATTTCTGGTTTTCTAATAATGCAGGAACTTGTATTTATTTATGTATACTCTGAATTTCATCTTCTTTCATTAACAATTAAAAATATCATAAATACTAACAACCTTAGCCAATCAGATTTCAGCACATGTGCTTTCGCATTTTTTCTAGATTTCTCACATGCATATTCTTATAGAGCCTTTTAGTATATACCAATGTCTTAAAATTCAAAGAATTAGAGAGATGCAGCCTATAAAGCATTAGCCGATCAGATTTCAGCACACGTGCATGCGTGTAATTGTATTCAATTTTGATAGTAGCACAATGTAGGAAACCATCATACCTATCTATATTCTAAATTTCATCCTGTTTTATTGAAAACTAAAGAAGTAATAGCCATTTAAAGTTTCAGCCAATCAAATTGCAGCACATGTGCATGCATGTGTTTTCAAGAACTTCCATACAAAAATAATTTCAAAGGATTTTGTCAAAAATCAAGGAAGCTATTGAGATTTTTGTTTCCTTCAATCAGAGCTGAGCGTAGATGCATGATCGTAAGTTCCTGCTAATTTGACTATGTCATCATGTCTACACTACTAATAAATCTTTATGTTTTGAATTTCAAAAGTATTGATGCTAAAAAGGTTTCAACTCAATTGGATGAAGGGTTTCCGAGAACACTGGCGGACAAAAAAGTACCGGAGAAGAAATTAAAAAGAAGGAATAATAGTACATGTAGTAAGAAACAGAGTAAAAACAATAGGTTCCAAAACTTCGTTTGGGGAATATAAATACACATGTATAAGAAATTAACATACATGTACAATATTCGAGGGGTTATCAAAAAGTTCGTTGACTGAATCGATGAAATTAATACTATATAGCCTGTGCTTACAAAGTTTATAAGGGAACATAAAACAACAAAAGTTAAAAAAGTTTTGAAAATTTTTAGCTTGATATGTTGATGATTTGGCAAAAAGGCAGAACATGACCACCCAGAGCTATCGCCGTTTTATTTTATGAGATTTGACGTAATTGCTTCTCGATGTCCACTCTCTTTCTCTACTTCAATAAATTTTTCTTAACAAGACACACTAGTGTTAAATACTGATTAAAACTATATATGGCGTATCTGAGTTTGAAAAATAATAATACGAGATTGAGTGTAAATATACATGATATATACATTTCACCGATTTTGAACTTCAATAACCTCACGTTTCTATAGGTAAATTGACTTAAAAGTCTGTTATTTAAATGTGGAGTCGGTAAATAAATCGGTTATTGTTTTATTTTTTTAAATATCTTTGAAACGCGATTGATTTAAATTGTGTAATTTACAGGAAAGTCCTATCTTTATATAAAGTAATAAAACAAATAGAAAGTTCTTTTTGATTTTGGTTATGATTTTGGTTACCAGAACTTAACAAAAAATACGCCATATATGACTTTAAAACCCATCTTGTTTATATGAATTTAAAATTTCATGAACAGCTGATTTCAAAACACAAAATGGGCCTATATATACTTAAGATGAAGATTCACAGAGTTCAATTTCTAACCGCACGCGAGCAATTTTACTTTTCGACGTGACAGACTTAGGACGCCCGGACCGCAAATTGGCATTAAATGTATCTCTCCTCTCCCGGAACCTTTTGTTGCAGTTTTAAAATAGGGAATCTGGAGTATTTTTTGTCTCCCCCAGTCTGTTCTGATTCAAACATTTCTAAAGTCTCTCTCTCTCTCTCTCTCTCTCTATATATATATGGTTCTACTATTTTATACATTGAGCGAAGGATTGATAAGATTGGCTTAAACTTGTCATGCACTGCAGTATGGTTCTCCCTATTTTGCAGACATTACATTTTTTGTTGGCTTTTCAAGGAATTTAGAAATTCTAACATGTTCGCTCCCCCTTCCCCCTCACTTCAGGTTCTTTTCATAACTTTAATTCTTTCTTCAGACTTAGAAATGAATTTAATGCTTACTAGTATTTCGAGTGTTTTATGATTTACAAACTTTATCTCTATAGTGTTACAAAGCTTGAGGAGGGCACCTATGCGCAACCTTGTAACAATTTTTTAAGCCCACGATTTGCATGGCTCTCTTTATGATTTGCTCTAAGGCTTAATTGAATGATTTTAATTTTCCCAGAAGCATGGCTAGGGCCTGTAATAAGGTGAACATTATTTACTCAAATGACAATGATGGCCCAACGGTTAATTATTTAACACTATCCATTCAAAAACGTCAAGTGGAAATCTATGGTTAGTAGAGTAGAACCATGCAACAAGTAAAGGTTACATGTAGGTTTATTAACAGTACACATTTAAGTAAAACACCAAACGAACATTTATATGCAAGGAGAAAATATGACATACCGGGTATTGCGTAGAACAACGAGGGAGTCATGATGCAAGTGCAATTTGGCTAACATTCAACACAAAGACACGGTGTCTGAAAACGACAAAAATCATAAAAATATAGAATATAAGAAAACTGAATGCACACAAGGGAAAGTGATAATGTAGGTCAAACCCTAATTACTTGGTGAAATAAAGAATATTTTTATAGACCTCCTCTCTGCATGTGGATAATTTAAGGCATCAGACGCAGACCTGTTTTCATAACGGTACAACAACTAATATCCAACTGGGATTTCAAGCTGACATATCATGTTCCTTGCATGTTAGTAATCATATGAATATTGTTCTTCAAGCATATAAAATTAAATGCGCAAACAAATAACGCAATGATCAAATTGTTTGTGAACTGGAAAGCAATATTTTTTGGGGTGAGTGAGAGAGAGGGTGAGTGAGAGAGAGAGGGTGGGGAGAGAGAGAAGGGGTGCGGGAGAG